TGACGAGCGACGCACGCGAAAAGATGAGAGTTGGCCATCTTTTTGCTTTGTGTTGGCGTGAGCGTTGTCGAATTTTGGCTATGTGGACGGCTGCATTTGAATTCATGTATTCATAGTCAGCTGTTGAAGCGACGCCAACGCCAACGCAACGCCAAAGTTCTATGTGGACGGGCCTTTAAAGTATCGCTGGAAAAATATCGGGTACCCAATAATATCGGAATAAAAAGACTCGATATCGCAAATATCGATACCAAAATCCAAAAAAATAAATATCTGAAAAAGTGATTAGAAACCTCCGAGCGTATTTCTGCCATGAAAAACAGCTCCTCATAAAAACGCCCTTTGTGGCACAACATCAAGGCGCACGCAACAAATCGGAGAAGCTCGGTTAAACGCTAACATATTTTGTAAGCGCCAATCTACTACTTTTACACGTAGAGATTGAGGTGTTGACTTAAAATACCGAGCTCGCGTGTTTAAGTCCCGCCACATGCAATCCTAACGATAGTAAAAAATGTCAGTTCTTTAAAGCCCAATTTGTATCGGGAAGAGTTGATAATCAGATAAGTCTTGAGAGCAATTTTTTCGCATTCTCTTTTGTGTTTTCTATTTGCTTCCAGACGCGTCAACTTTTATTGAATTCAAGTTCGTGGTTCTTTAAATGAGAGGTATCTGCACTCTTCCCCTTTCTTCTCACCTCCTTCGCCTTGGAACGAGCAGACTTGAAAGCAAGACTTGACGTGTCTGAAAGCTGACTATTTTGAGTTTATGACATTCGATACGATACTAGGATTCTGGTACTCGATTCCAAAAAATATCGTTTTAAAACTATCGAGTAAAAAATATCGGTATCGAATGCCAAAAGTATCGATATGGTATCGTATCGTATCGAAATTCGTGTCCCAACCTTTGAGTGTGACAAAATGTAGACGGCGTCGTTTTCCAATTTTGTATGGGAAACAACAGATTTTACGGTTAGAAAACGTCTCAAAATGTAGACGTCTACATTTTGAGACACTATTTCGAACGAACTGTGAACAGCCCATATATTTTTACTCGTTGATACAAATTTTGAAATAAACGCGATCATGCAAATCAAACCGCGTGCATGAAAATGTCCATTTAAAACAACCATAGGGTGGGCTTTAGTATTCAGCTGCAACTTTTGTTTTAGGAAAACCAGGTGGAATTAACAAATGAAACTTGGTCAGGATATTTAGGGAAGTATCCTCTAAAACATGTATAACTAAAAAATATAAACAATATTATTGTTTAAAAGTTATTTGTTGTTAAAATTCCTTAAGTCGTTCCACTTGATTTCCTTATCAAAGAGTGAATTTTTCACATACTTTCATATATATAAATGCACATAACACTACCTAATAGTTTACACACTTTTATTTTATTTTATCTTGTATATAAATAACTTTAATCCAACTTTTATAAAGTTGTAAATTACATTACATTGCACCCATATTTACAATAACACATGGTTGCCAACTGCCACATAAAATGTGCTGCCATACTGTACAAAACAATACATTAGAAATAATTATACGTAGTGAGGGTTATAATTCCTAAGTGCGGTCGCAGGCCGCCTACACAGAAAGGTGTTCTCTGCAAAAGGTGTTAAGCCCCCTTTTTTCGGCAACACAGAAAGGAGAATTCTACGTAGTGAGGGTTATAATCCCTA